CAGTGTAGGCAACATCGAGGTGACATTTAAGATGGGATTTCACGGTCAGGAGGTGAGTTGTGTGGGCACGTGAGATGAAGCATCCCAGGCAGGGGGAGGAGACCAGAGGAGCGGCAATGAATAAATAACCGGAGGGGCTAGCAAGGTGGAGTGGGAGAGGCAACGGGGGCCTGTAGGCCCCTCTGAGAGCCCAGGGGCAGCTAGCAAGGCTGGGAACAGGAACGGCCTAACTAACAAGCATACTGAGATCCAGTGGCTGGTCCCCCAGGATTGCCGGCCCAGCTCAAAGGCCATTTCCTCTGGGAGGCCCTCCTGACCACCGAGCCTAGGCCAGCTCCTCTCGGGCACAATGACGGCCTCCAGCTCCTGTACAGTAACTACTGCCCTGGTAAACACAGTCCCCCTGGCTAGAATGGGGGCGAAGCCTTTGTCAGGTCTGGCCCCTCAGCAGGGGCTCAGTGAGTACCCACAGAATTAACAACATATATAGATCACGCGGGGCGGGAGGACAAATCCCATGGTTCTTAAAGGAAGCATACTGATCCAGAGAGAATTCCTGGCTGTAAGCTGGTGGGGGACGGTCAGGGCCTGGGGAGTCACGGGGATGGACACTGGCAGCTCTATCTGTCCAATGCCTCCTGACTATGGGTCCACCAGGGACACTGCGTGGCTGGTGTGGCGGGCACAGGCAGTCCAGCGTGCAAGGAGCTCCTGTTCTCATGGGGGAGCAGCAAACAGCGTGATGATGTAAGCATTGAGCTGCGGCCTCAAAGGTCAGCGGGTGAAACCATCAAGACCAATAGGAGGCTGCCTGCTCCCCCTCATATTAGCCTCAGAAACCCTATGCAGGGGCTCCGCTCTGAGGCGGGTGCCTTTTGTAAGAAGATTTGCAGAGAAAGGTGGGGCGGGGCAAGGGAAGGCGTTGGGCAAACACATTTAAGCCTCGTTCCTGAGGTGAGGCAGTCATCCGGGCGGGCAGGGCCAATCCGCCACCTTCCTAATGCTTCCGCCCTTTCATACAGTTTCCTCCGGTTGTGGTGACAACCCCCCTCCCCAACCATAAAATTATTTCTGTTGCTACGTCATCACTGCAATGTTGCTACTGTTATGAATCGGGCGACCCCTGTGAAAGGGTGTTAGATGACACACACACCCCCACTCCCCCAAAGGGTGGCAACCCAGGTTGTTTAGGCTTTTGTCTCTGGTTCTTGAAAACCATTGTCTAGACAGCCAGTAGCACTTAAACCTGTTGAAATGCAGCAGGCGCTCCAAGCCCCTACACAGACCGAAGGGAAGGGAGGGAAGGGGGGCAGCTGGAACCTATCCCAAATGTCCAGCTAGTCAACCGTGATCTCTCCTGGTTGAGCCTTCCTTCTCTTCGGATAAGGACGATCTGCACAGACAAGTCTCCCTGGACAATGGTAGCCCCCAAGCAGGGCCACTGAGCTTCCGCCTCAGCTTGGGGGCGGGGAGGTGACAGAGACTCATGGGGATGTTGGGGAAGGGAGAGCCTGGGGGGAACTGGAGTCACACTGACCCTTGCCCCTCTCACAATGTTCTTACCCGGCCACTGCCCCAAGGCAGACCCCCACCAGCTCACAACAGGATTCCTGTCCAACCCCATAACCGGTCTTGGGGACCCAATGCATCTATTCTTCCACCCACTCACCTCACTACCCCCAAAAGGCTTTCTACAACACCCAAGGACGAAGTCCAAGAGTCCGCTTCGGCCTCTCGGCCTGCAGCAGACCCCCAAAACAAGTTGCTATTCTCCCAACCTTGTGAGTGGCTTTGGACCTGGTCTTTGCAGACATAGCTTCTGTAGACCAGGGCACCCCACTTGTTGCTTTAGTTGCTTTTTTCTGCTGCAGAATGTCCACTGAATGACCTGGTCTGAATGAGATGAAGGGACCACACGTAGCCCCTAGTCCTTTATCCCCCTGCATGCTATGGTCATCCTGCGTTCATCTGTCATTCTCTCCGAGTGACTACAAGAAGTTTCATAAGCTCTTCAAAGGCAGGCACCTCTCACCCACCTCACCTGCAGGTATCCGCTTTTGAAAGAACCACAAGGTTTCCACTTAACTTAGAGTACTTGAAGCCATGTAACCACACAGCTCATGGTAAATAGAAGCCAAAAGAATAGGGGTTGGGAAGCAATAGTAGCTTCCACATAGCTTAGATTCAAAAGCTCTACAAAACCACCACAGTCAAAGGTAGAAGTGCGGAAGCCACCAGGAGCTAAATGTGCCAACACCAGGAGGTAAATGTGCCAAGTCCGCAGGGAGTAATAAACATTGAGAAGGCATGCACACCCCATTGTGTCAAAACAGCCTGCCCCGCCCCAGAATGTCTCCCATCCCACTCAACTCCGCAGGTGCAAACACACCCACTCACCCGAGGGCTCCTGCGAGGTGAGCAGACGGCCGGGATCTGTGGAGACAACACCATTTGATGGCACCAGCGGTCTCGGGCTAGGGCTTCCCATCCCACAAGGCCCCTAGCTTGCCCTCCTCACCTCCAACGTGTGAGCCACGATCTTCTTCAAGACGATGGGCTTTCGGGCTGGGGCGGCATGGGGAGTCTGGACAGGAGGAAAAGGGGAGAGTGAGCCCTCCATCCGTCCGGGTGCCTCGAGGCAAGGACGGAGAAAGCCCGGGCTCACCTTCGGCCAGATTTCGGGGACGGTGTTCTGGAGATCGGAGCCAGATTTCCGCTGGGATCTCCGCAGAGATCGGTTCGGAGATGAAGGCTGGGACCCTGGGAAGAGCGGGTAAGAGGATTTGGGGGCGGAAGGGCTCGAGGCGCTCGTCTAAAGAGCAAGTTGCGGAGAACGCGAGAACAGGTTCCCAAGTAGGCCCTTGGGAGCACCTTGGCAGGGCCGACAAGCCTGCCTCGCCCGCGGGGTTTCTCCGGGAGGAGGGGCCCCTCTACCCGGGGACGAAGAGCCCCAAACGGCCCGGCCCCGCCGCTCCCGCGCGCCTCCGCTCACCAGAACGTTGGGCGGCCCCTCCAGACCGCGTCTGCCTCTGAGACATAGCTGCTGCGGGGCTCGATGTCTTCCGCCACCGTGCCAGCCCTGGCTCGCGCCAAGCGGGAAGCCCGTTCGAATTACCCGCCCTCCTGGGAGGAAGCGGAAGTGACGTCAGGCGAACGCGCCGCCTCCCCGCTGCCCCACCCACTCGCAGCGCCAGCGTCGGCGGAGGTGTGGCGCACAGGCGCCGTGGCGTCATCAGCGCGCGCCGCACCCGGAAGAGACGTGGCAGCGGAGGGTTTACTCCGAGGGGCCAGAGCTATAGGGCACGGAGCGGGATCTCCGGTGAGCATAGTTCCCGCCGTTCCGCACCTCGAGCCACCGAACGCGCCCGGCGGGACCGGTTCCAGGGCCGATCGGTAACAAGGGCCGGAGAGGGGTCTGGGGAGACGGCGGAGGCGGGGCATAAAGGGGGTGGTGCTTGGGAGGGGCTCCTGGGGGCGGGACCTGTGGTGTGGAAGAGCCAGCTAGAGGGTAGGGGGGCCAGAATTCTGGAGCCGTGAGGGGTCGCTAGAGGCGGAGTTTCTGCAAGGGGCGTGGCCCGCCGGGCTGAGTAGAGGGGGTGGGCCGGAATGTGGGAGGTGTCTGGGGGCGTTGGAAATGGAAAGGAACTGACCTGGTGAGAGCCCAGTGGCCAACCCCAGAACCTGGCACCTTTCCAACTCCGGGCCCCTTCCCCAGGGTCGACCATGGGACTTTGCAAGTGTCCCAAGAGGAAGGTGACCAACCTGTTCTGCTTCGAACACCGGGTCAACGTCTGCGAGCACTGCCTGGTGGCCAACCACTCCAAGGTGGGACCTTCAGGGGAGCGGCCTCTTAGGACAGGCTTGTGTGCGCTCCCTCCCGGCCTGTGTCCCGGGAGCCCTCGAACTAGACTGGAAGCGCCAGCAGAGCCAAGCCTGGGGTCCTTTTGTTCATTGCCCCTAAAATAGGATCTGGCACAGGCGGGCGCACCCTAGATAACTGTTTGTGGATCCAACACATGGAAGGATGTCTCTCCTGTGTGATGAGAGAAGCAGTGAGCTGGGCCGTGGGGAGAGGGCTCCATCTGGGCTTCTCTCTCCTGCTCCAGTGCATCATCCAGTCCTACCTGCAGTGGCTCCAAGACAGTGACTACAACCCCAATTGCCGCCTGTGCAGCTTGCCCCTGACCAGCCGGGAGACAGTCCGCCTCATCTGCTATGGTGAGGTCTGGGCACCTTGGGAGGACCAGGGCAGCTGCAGGGGCCCACGGGGGACTGGTTTTCAGCCCCTCCCTTAAATAGCAGCTCCGTGAGACTCCCCAGCCTTCGAGGCCGAAACCCCAGATTCAAGTCCTCCAGCTGGGAACTCAGGCAAGTTGTCTGCCCATTGTAGACCAGTGTGCCAAAATGGAAATGCCTAGATCCTGCTCGCCACCTTTAGAGGGTGAAGGGAGAGCCCCAGTTTAGCTCACAGGTGTGGCTGTGAGCAGTAGCTGGCCAGACCAGTATGGGGCTTTCAGACACTCAGGCTCCCTGATTGATTCCTAGATTGAAAAAGAGAGAGGAGTTAATGTTGCCCAAGTTCAAGTGAGATCCTAAAGCGTTGGCAGACACCTGGGTCATGACCTTGATCAGACTGGTGCATAAGAGCCTTCCCTGCAGGGTTTACAGGCTGCAGTGCAAAAGAGCCAGCTCAGCACAGGTGTGTTCCTGAGCTGTGCGTAGACGCAGGGATGCACCGAACATTGCGTCTTTCTTTCTCTACTCGGTTGATACTGCACTCATTCGCAGTGGAGGGTGGTGAATAAGTACTCGCGTGGTTGGTAACAAAGGAGCCAGTTAAGCTGGGGGTGTAGGGCGGGGAGGAGACAGTGTGGTGGTGAGCAAGCTTGGGTCCACGTGAGGGGTCTTCTCAAAGATAAGTACACGTTCAGGGAAGTGTGCTGCTCAGCACAGCTGGAAGAAGTGGCATGTATGTGTGTGTTGGCATGTATGTATTTGATCACATGGATATGTGCCCGTTTTCTTGTGCTTATATGTTGAGGGGTCTTGATCATGTAGACGTTACGTGTTGGGCTGCCATCCTCGAAGTCATCCGTTCAGAACCACGAGCTATTCCTCAGGAGAAAAATGAGGCTTTCCACTCCCCGGAAAGAGCGACAGTCTTAGAAATCCACAAGGGCCCTTCTCAGCTGGGCAGAGCCTCCCGGGATGGTGTGAAGGGGATCTCCAGTGTGCTGGAGCAGGGCCCTGCCCTGGAGGGTGGCCATGAGTCAGCATCGACTCCATGGCAGCGAGTCTAGTAGTTTGGTTTGATGTTTGTGTTTAGGAACCTGTCCTGGAACTGTTCTTGATAAGCTGTTAGCCTGAGCAACCATGAGCTCAGGCCCAGAGGGGACTCTCTATCAGGCTAGCTGGCACCATCTTCCGTCCACCACCGTCTCTGGGGAGCTTGGTTGCATCTGCCTTGGCTCAGTCAGAGGGTGGTAGGCACAGAGCCTTGGGGGACACTGGGGAGATCAAGCTGGATGTAAGACTGGGACGGAAAGGTTTGGGGAGGTATATTTGTGCATCCAGGTTAGCAGCCACGGCTCCCTCTGAATGCCTTCCTCCTTGTTTTGTGGGTCCTAAGACCTCTTCCACTGGGCCTGCCTCAATGAGTGTGCCTCCCAGCTACCCAGAAACACAGCCCCTGCCGGCTACCAGTGCCCCAACTGCAATGGGCCCATCTTCCCACCCTCCAACCTGGCTGGCCCCGTCGCCTCCGCCCTGAGAGAGAAGCTGACCATGGTCAACTGGGCCCGGGCCGGACTGGGCCTTCCTCTGGTGAGAGGGACTCTGTCTGCACTGGGGCGGGGTGGGGGGTGGGCAGTGCATCCCTGGCCCAGCTGCTGACCCAGCTTCCTTCCTCCAGATCGACGAAGTGGCGAGCCCAGAGTCTGAGCCCCTCAATACCTCTGACTACTCCGACTGGTCCAGTTTCAGCGGTAAGTGGGGGTCCCCACCATATACCATTGAGGCCCTGGTTGCCCTGCCTTGCTGACACTTCTCCTCCTGCCCCCCCAGCCAGCGGGACCCCTGCACAAGAGGACGTAGCCAGTGCCTCCGCTGCCCCAGCCTTCTATAGCCAGGCCCCCCGGCCCCCGGCCACCCCTGGCCAGTTGGAGCAGCACACGGTGATCCACGTGGGCGGGCCTGAGTCCATGACCCACGGTGAGCCAGGGGCTTGCGCACTGGAGGAGGCTAAGAGGGGCAGGCAGTGGATCCAGAAGCCCCCGCGGAGGGACCCACTTCTCAACGTTCCAAGGGGGGCTCTGCCCAGCTGAGAAGGGCCAAGATCACCTGCCTCTCCTCTCCCTGACCCCTGCCCCCTGCCTGGAGCCAGTTGTCTCCTCTTCACATTGCTGCCTGCCCCCACCCCTTCCCCCCTCCCCACCAGCCTCCACCCCGAGAAAGGTGTATGACACGAGGGAAGACAACCTGGGCCCCGGCCTCGACGGGGACTGTGACGACGACAAGTACCGCCGCCGGCCTGCTCTGGGCTGGCTGGCGCAGCTGCTCAGGTACACGAGTGACCGGGAGGGGCAGGCCGAGGGCTGGGTGGGATCACAGGCTTCGCCAGGCTGACGCCCACG